TGTGTGTGTGTGTGTGTGTGTGTTTGATGTGGGAGTAAATTGTACCGGGAGAAACTAGTACAACTTGTTTAGTACTGTGTGCCTGAATTGCTGAGATGAACACAAGAGAAGGTGTGCCCGGGTTCCTGAAGACACGGAAACGAATACGCGCCTTGAGGTCATGCATCGTGCTTCTGCACCACATTTCTGTTGCTTCCCGTACGTGGTTCCGGACAAAGCAGACCAGACCAGACCAGGTCAACGGTTTCACTTGCATTGCTTAACTAGTAATCATGCTCTCGACTAAAATATGTTCTACCATCTTAACCCATGATATTGTTCTAAAATATGTTGATAATAACTCTATCATAACATAAACGTACTTGAAAAACTTAAATCTCATACAAACAGAATATGATACGTAATTCCCAAGTCATACAAATGACTAAAAATACATTGCTTTATGAATCAACAGCCCACGGCCATTGCTTAGAAACTAACAAAGATCATTAACTAATTCTCCCTAGTGTGTTCATCTCGACAACCAACGCCACCGCAACACCTTACCAGCCCAGTCTCTTGAAGGTGCTCATAGGGGTAGAGTTTATGTGAGTTTGTTCATAGGGGTGTGTGTATATACATGTATGTGAGCGACATTGATTATACTTTGTTAAAAAATACACCTCGCCGGCAATCACAGTACCATATAGGTCTTCGTCCTATCGCTGACATAATTGTTTGTCATATATCGCAGTCATGACCTCTTAAAATGTACAACTTACATAATTCACCTATTATTCAGAACTTAGTCATCATTATACACTAAGATGATGATTGCTAGTTCACACACACACACACACACACATTGCTAGTTCATACAGAAGCAAACAATCAAGCAGCATCAATATGACATCCCTGCGGCTTTTCAAGTAATGTCAGGTACACATGAAACCAGCCAAAGAACTCGCTGACGAGCAAAAGCAGATGGGCAAACAACTGAAGGTAGAACCACGCATACTCATAATCTGGAGGTCATGACCAATGTAGTTCATTTTTGGTCATTTAGTGTTCATCCTTCCATGGCAAGGTTCAGAGCAACGAAGGTATTTGAACCTGTTATTTCAAATAGCATGCTTCTCTTGTGAACTTTCGAAATACATCACATACCAGGTTTTTAATCACTTGCAAATAACAAACAATAGAAATTATAAGTCGAATGGCTCTTAAGAAGTGAGAAACAACAAAATCCAATAGTAGCTAACATGACCACAAAACTCCTTCACGTATAAGACTGAGAAAAAACAATGAAAACCTACAAACGACAATGAACTCGTAATTTCAAGAATTGTTATCATCTCGAGCTTAAACAGACTATAATTACCGATTTATAACTACATGGAAGGACAGTAAAGCTTATAATTTCATGGAATAAATGTTGATAGTACTATGATAAAGGATCAAATTATTAATTTATGAAATACTATGATAAAGGATCAGATTATTAATTTATGAAATACTATGATAAAGGATCAGATTATTAATTTATGAAATACTATGATAAATGATCAGATTATTAATTTATGGGACTTCATTGGTAGAAACTTTAATATTTATATGACCAAGAGATGCAAAAACTCTAAAAATTGGCCTGCCATTAGCTTTGAGATAACTGTAACTCCCCCTGACGTACAGTTGCACCCAGAGAATATGTTGGGCATTCAGATAGGCCCGGGCCTTTATATGAATCCATTGAGAAAACTGTATGGACATAACCTACTGTATTTGTCCACCTTATGTTCCAGGGTCCCCATCATACAAACCAAGGTTTCCTGTTATGCGTGTGGTAAGAATCAAGAAAACTGTGATCGCAAAATGTGTTATGGCTACACCATAAACATAAGGTGTTAAGAGTAGTGTGAGTTACCTCCCAATCGGTGCCTCTATTTGAAGATCAAGCACAATTCCGTATTTGTTCAAATATAAACATTAAGTTGATCTGTACCTAACACCTGGACATAAGTACAAAAGAACCTTGTTACTGAATGCAATACTTTCAACTAAAAAGTGAAAGATGATATTCAACACACATGCACACACCTTTGAGGAAATAAAAGACAATTTTAACTAACCTTGGCTTTTTGCAAAGCTGATCACGGTTGCCGTGACCATGAAAAATTAGATCCTTAGGAAATATAATCCTTGAATCATTAGTAGTGTATACAGAAGCAATGTCTGTGCACTTTGAGAGAGAGGAAGGGGATGTTGGTTT